AACTTGAAACTTGAAACTTTATAATTTGAACCTGATATTTATTAGTTTCCAAAGACAAGATTTCCTTCACATATTCAACTCTGTGAAATAACAATGAATACAATGTATAAATATACAACAACACATATATTTATATATAAAACTACAAATAAGAATAAACAGCAACATTTGATAAAGACAATTCGATTAGAAATATTGGGATGTTCGTTGAAATTATATTTGTTTAAGGGGGGAACATCGTTACTCTTTCACAAAGTGAGCAAGGGAAAAAATCGTCAGACTTCCCATAGTGAACAGTTTCTGATATGAGTTATAATCAAATAAGTGCACACCTATCCTTTGTTTTAAAACCCTTATCTGGTTCAAAGGCTAATACGTGTGTCTTCCCAGGTATTCCTCAGCACTAGACGTGGGAGTTGGGTGTTGAACCGGATAGGGCCCAATGGTCTTCCCATTGACATGGCGTTTGCATCCAGGTTGTTAACGTTTTTGAGAACAAATGTGATACCGGTTGGTATGATGGAATCAATGGCACGTTCTCAATTGAATAAACGGTTTGATCACGCAGCCTACTCATTACAGCCTAAGCATGATGTCTTTGCACAACATCCCACAGTAAACGATAGCCTTCCAAACCGTATAGCCAGTGGATCTATTAAAGTCAAGACGGATATCAAGTGCTTCACTGCAACTGGTGTCGAATTCACAGACGGAACGAAGGAGGAGAACATCGATGTTGTGATCCTTGCAACTGGCTACATCTTCGGATTTCCTTTCATTGATAAATCCGTTATTGATGTACAGGACAACCGCATAGAGTTATTCAAATACATGTTCCCACCTAACCTCAAGAAGCCGACAATTTGTGTTGTTGGATGTGTGCAACCTATTGGCTCCTTAATGCCAATCTCCGAGCTTCAGTGTCGGCTGGCTGCTAGAGTGTTCAAGGTAAGAAGACTTCTATAAAACTAACCAACAAATGGCAGTAGGTACGCACACTATGATCACTATTTTGGCAAGTTTAGGAATTCTTAACATTATATAAATACACCTGATTTTTCACAATACTTTGCAGCATATTTAATCTACCAGTTCATCCCTTAGGAGTTGATAATTTAAAAAAATGTAAGCTTTAGTCTTTCACCGATTTCTACATTTCTAAGGGTGACGTCACGTTGCCGTCCAGTGATGAGATGTGGGCTGACATCCGGCAGAAGGAAGAGGAAATGCGACACGTTTATGTTAAATCAAAACGTCACACGATACAGGTCCACTGGATCCCGTACATGGACGAGTTGGCCACACTTAATGGCTGTAAACCCAACCTAGGTATGTTTTCATCCCTGTCAAATTCATCTACTGTAAACACGCGGCCTATCTATCCACACATCTTTATTCACTTCGGCAATGTTTACAAAATGTAACTTTATATTTCATTCTAACTCGATTCATTTGCAACGCGTGTTTTAATTACATGGCTTAATGGTGTTAAATCCCGCCTACCGCCCTGTTTCGTACCAAAAACGTAAAAAGCTGATTGCCGTGTAAAGTGATAAAGTGGAGTGAGGAGTTGATTATATTTTTCGGATAGATCAGTGCTAAGTGGTTCTTGCACGTACCTTCATTTATCACTGAAACTTACATCCTATTAGTGTGTTAATAACCCCTATTGGTCTCGAATTCAAACCAAATTTCATAAGCCAATCGCCAGTACTTGTCCCTAAATTAAAATGCTTGCGATGGGAAGAAGTTAGAAAGTGACTAATGGCGTCTCCAGTGATGCAATATTTGATATTTGATATTTACATTCTAAAACATATTATATTAATTTGCCTTCAAGAACATATAATTTTCATTAATAAGGAAACATACTATATGCACATTTACGTTCCAGAACATATCGGCATTAAAAACGAATCATGTGCGTTCCACACTGCATGCTTTGAAAAAGACGACTACTGCGGGAAACCCCTGCAAAGTTTAAGATTGATTTTGTGTCATCTATTTGATCTGTTGCGACTTTTGCAAACCTGATTAAAATACAGCTCCTCATTATACTGTGGTATGAGGATGATCCTCATACGTGAGTAGAACGATAGTATAATGAGGGGCTGTATTTTAATTAGATTGCATCTTTTGCAACGTTTGAGATTCGATTCGTTTCCTAGCACCTTACTTGGCAACACATACCTTTTGGCCTTGGCGTTGAGCATTCGCTTAATCTAGAAAAGTTATGGGTTCTGCTCTAAGACAGCGGCAAACCAAAAATTTACGTCTTTTAGACAGTGTTCCCCCTAGGCCTGTTTGTCAGGATAATGTAACCCCGTGGGGTACGATGCTGCCTTGTCCAGGTACAATGTATGAAATTTCTGTGAGATTGGCCCTGCAGTTGCCTCGTCTTCGTGTGGACTCCGTCTTCATATGATCTGAACTTTATTACAAATATTTACAATGTAATTATGAATCGGAGTTAGGTTCGGATCGGTCGTGGGTCAGGAAATTTGTTATATTCCTAATCAGTTCAATGCATGTATCATTAATGCAAATATGCAACGCACTTCATACTGCGTTTTGAATCTACATGACACTACGTTTTGAAAAGAAATCATTGTTTTTAAATATAAACAGTATGATTTTGAATGTAATATATTAAAAATTCAAGCGCGTGATACTCCATAGTCCCTTTCATTTGTTATTATTTTAGCACATCATATTTTGATGTAAGACGTGGTATACGGAAATATACGACAAAGAAACATGTGAGATGTTTAAAGTTTTATTGTTGTTAAATACGATATATATTTCCTTTTTGTTATTTGATAATAAATTAATTTGTCAACACTCGTTTTCAGGTGTGATGTTACTGAAGGACACACAATTGGCTATGAAGTGTTTTTTCGGGCCGTGTACCCCCTACCAATACAGACTCGAGGGGCCGGGCAAATGGAGCGGGGCAAGAGACGCTATCCTCACACAAATGGACCGCACATTGAACTCCTTGAAGACGAGACCATTGGGATTTGAGTCCAAAAAGTCAGGAGGAGGGAAATTATATGTGTTCTTGTTCATATTCTTTGTACTGCTGGCTATTTTATATAGGCTACTATTGTAAACAATGTGGTTTTCGTGTTTGCTGTCTTACTTAGACCATGTATTTAGGATGCAGTTGGACCATTTGACAGATAATATATGCATGTGGTTAGTTTGTTTAAGTAATTTACAAGAAACGACACGCCGATAAACGCAGGGTTAAAGCATCTTTATTTATGACAATTAAACCTCGACTTTTTCTTGTTAACATTTGCGTACTCAAAACAATCCTTTTTCGGATCCGTGGACTGTATCTATTAATTCATCTTCCTTATGGAACAATCATTCCTTAATTACCGCTGAAATACAATATGGACTCCATATCTTTAATGGATTACGTTGTAGCTGACGTAATTTGTATCAAAACATTGTCATACTGTAAAGCCTTTAACCAAAAAAATCACAGTTTTAGTGGAGGCAAGGTGACTATACACTGTGCTTTTTATAGCGACTGCTCTTTATCTTAGATGAATAACATTTTGGAACTTCCATTAACGCAGATCGATCAAAACTTTACAAGAACCATTTTGTCGCTCAGACTGGTTACAGTTGGAAGGCATTTTAACAGGCAACCCTCTGGAATGGCAACTTGTCCAACTCTTGAAAGGGACTCCCCTCAGGATCAAACTGGTCAATCTGGACTAGAGAAATGGGTTTTGGCGTTTGGTTTACATGTAGGGGACATAACATGATAATATTGTTGAGTTCGTTCAAGTTCAAGGATTTCTAAAGTAGTTATAGGTGTAGAAATTTCCATGTGAACTCTTTTATTGTTTGTTATACAAAATGTGCTGCGATGCTTGATTTTTGTTTAATAGATTACGATTATAAGTACTAAGTTGTGGTCCATATTAGCTGATTTGTTTTCTTACATTATTTGTAAGATAATAAGACATGTGTAGTAAGTGAGTTCACATTTCAGTTATAAAACTAAGACAAGATTCATTGCGCAATAACATGGATAAATGTCAACAATGGACGTCAGCATCGGTATCGGTAAAAGATTTGGAGTCAAGCGCAAATTATATGAAGCTGAAAGTATTCTAATGACGATTCTATTTGTTTTGTCTATTTTGGATAAATAAGGTAGAAGCCATTCATTTACCTAATCATAAACATGTTACTATATTTTTTAAATAACACTGTAAAAAGACCTTGTATTTTCTATAGAAATATAACCATTATATAATATGTCTGGTTTTAGATACGTGTAATTGATGCAAGAGTTTATGCATTTTTGTTTTTGGATTTCCCCTATACAGAAATTATTCTTTTTCAGGTTATTTGTGATAATTTGTAAAAACAACAAAGAATATGGGTATTTTGAATTTTCATTTTAGATTGATCAAATGGTGACAATATCAGAATTAATACGAATTGATAGCACTAAACTTTTTATACATAATTTTATTTAAATTGAAATTATAACGATGGTACAAAATTGTTTGGTTATGCCAAGTATACCTGAAAGACAAAGTCAGTTAATTACTTTTGCATACACCGCTTCACAGGTAATGCTATGTGTTTATAATCTTAACGACGGAATCAGAATCGTGGCAATTCGTTTTAAAATATATAAAGAAACATGTTTACGCCACTCAATAATGCCGTTAGAGGAGCGAATAAATCACATATCCGTAATGGAGCAGTTCATGAACCGCATGAACATTGATACTACTGTAGTATATTTGTCAACAAAATTGATCCGATTTGAATATGACGACACAGATATTATTGTCAACAGATCATGACTAGAACAATTACTGTATATGTATGCATTACATTGTATATAGATATGGTATCGTTTATGTTTATGGCTGGAAATAATAAGGATGTAATGATTTCCTATGAACAGAGAAAGCTGAAGTATATATTTTTATGATCATATATATGTGTCTGTTTAATACTAATTACATTGTATAACGTCTCAAGTTGACATTGCTGTTTTTGTAGATGTCTATTACTGCTGTATTGTTAAACAGAACGTTGATTGTAATAAGACAATACTTTGTACAGATGATTTTCTTGTATATTATACTTAACTATTAAATGATACTGTAAATAAACATATTGCCGCCAGTTAACTGCCATACGTCTGATGTTTTATAATTATGCTAATTTGTAGCAAAATAAGCTACATGTGTATACAATCGAAAGACCTTTTGCAGTTAACACGAAATATATTAGAATTGCCTCCCACTGTTATGCCTTTAAAATAGTAAATCTTTAGCTGTCATCTCTGTTGTTAATGAATGTTGAATTTCTAGCCATTCCGTGTTTGGCTATTATGCGACCTACAGTGTTAATCCCATATGTGTTGTAGTTCACCACTTGGCGTTGGAGGCACTTTTTATTCTACATGTGTGTCGATCCCACACCTAAATAAATACCGAAGTGTTTATCCGCCTAACGATGGAAAAACGAATTTTTTCACATGCAACGTGTGCCTGAAAATACTAGCCTCTACTTATCTTAAAAATTAACAAATCGTATACCTAATCGGTCCTACAGTACGTATACAAAGTAGAGTCTGTTCCCTGCTTCGAGATGACTTAGTTTTTTCAACCAAGTGAAAACACGTATTGCACCTATTACACTTGTATCAAAGTATGTTAATTAACACGCTGTAAAAGTGTTTTTTGTTAGTATTTTTTTCGGATTTCCCGGTAGTTATAAATACTCGTAAAACAAAACTGTTCCATAATCATCTTTAATAATCCAACTAAAATAGGGGAAAACTTGTACTTTTTAATACCGTATCTGAGGTTGTATCCAACCCGTATTTTATTTCGTAAACTTGCAGTTACAATATACAGACCATTTAATTAATGCATACATGAAATAAGATCCAGAAACAAGTTATTAAACTTATATCAATCTGTTTCCTTAG